TTAGGAAGGATGTGGAGCAACTTGGGAGAGTGCAGAGGAGAGCCATGCGTGTGATCAGAGGGCAGGAAAACGGACCTTACGAGAGGCTGGGACTCTTCAGCCTGGAGAAGCGCAGTCTCGGGGGGCACCTGGTGGCTGCCTACAAGTCCATCGGGGTGTGTATCAGGATCTGGGGGAACATCTGTTCACCAGAGTGCCCCGAGGGGTAACAAGGACCAGCAGTCACAAACTCCTCCGTGACCGTTTCAGGCTGGACATAAGGAAAAACTTCTTTGCTGTCCAAGCCCCCAAGGCCTGGAATAGACTCCCCACAGAGGTGGTGCAAGCACCGACTCTGGACTCATTTAAGAAACATTTGAATGTTTATCTTGCTGGGATCCTATGACCCCAGCTGACTTCCTGCCCTTGGACAGGGGGCTGGACTCGATGATCTTCCGAGGTTCCTTCCAGCCCTAACACCTATGAAATCTACGAAGGTCCTTTTGCAATAGGAAGTCGTGCTTGGGCACTAATTGGGTTTTGGAAGCAGTGCCCGAGCTCCTGCTGAATGGTGATGGGTTGCCCCAGGTCGGACATGCGCATCGGAGAGCACGTGGCTCGTGGCAGGTGCTGCTGTCCTGTGCAGCCAGGTCTGGGGCACTGAGTGCACCTGGCACCAGGTGGTCGTGTTTGCCATGGCTCTGGAGAGGCGATTTCATCCTCACAGTGGTGCTGCTGCTGCTTTGGGTTGGTTTTCTTGATGGCTCTGTGCTTGCAGATCGGGCTGCGCTGTGCTGTCTCCCCGAGGTACCAGTGCTGCTGCTATGTGGCTTTCCCTCGCCACTGACTGCATGCATCCTGCATTGTTTCCCCCAGTGCATTTTTAGCTGTATTTCCCAGCATGAATCCTCTTTTATGTGCTACCGTCTTATAATCTAAGACCTTGAGTCAAGATAGTGGGTTGCTTAAATTACTTTGGGAACTGTTTATGGTCTCTGTTTTGGGCTGCAGGTGTATCTGTTAAGCTTCCCTTGAGTTGTTCTGGTAGGTAGTCAGATTGGACAATTTAGGGCTGAAATCTGGTTTTGGCTTCTGGCTGAAGGTGAATGTTTTTTAACCTTCAGATTGCCCTCAACTGGGATCGGCTAATCTGTTCCCTGCCACGGGAGGGGTCTTGTAACTTTTACCAGAGTATAAAAGGTGAACCTCTGTATAGCCGGTCCTTCTTGGGTATTAAAGCTTTGGGGAGCGGCGGGCTCAGGAGGATAAGTAACAGCTTCTGATGCATGTGTGGTGGGAAGATGATGTATTTCTAAGCATGTGTGGTGGGAAGATGATTAGTAAAGTCTCCCTTCGGTCTTGCCACAAGTTATCATGGGGACAACTTGCATTGGAAGTCTGCAAGCATCTGAACAAAAAAATGCAGCAAGCTCCTCCCCCTGCTTGCTTTAGAAGCAGGAAAGAGCAGAGTGGCCTACTGTGTCTGCCGCACTTCCTGAGCTCTGCTGCACAGCCTTTAAAGAAAAAACAGCTGTCCCCAAGGATCACCTAATATACTGAGCATTAATTAGCCCAGTTTGATAGTATGGCTAAAGTAACAGCAAAAAAGTGGGGAGCGTTTATCATGTTCCTCTTATAAACTTAATTTGAATATGTAAATAGATTTTAAACACAGATTGTGCTCTTAAATAAAAAAAAAATAAATACAAAAGGTTTAAAGGTTACTCAGTGCATAGCTGATTTTTGCATGGTTTGATTTTTATTTTTTTTAATGATTTTTAGCGTGCGCAGTTTTATCCGGCTTGTGATATAAAATGGAACTAGTACAGACTGTATGTTCAGTGCAGCTTATTGTTGCTCAATACGTAGCAACCTTTCATTTTCTGATATCAATGATATTATTTTACAATGTTAATACAGCACGTGGCACAGTTATCTGCCTGCTAACACGGAGCCTTGATCACCAGTGCAGTGGAGGACACCATGTATTCGTTCCTTTTTATAATTACCATTATTTCAGAGACACTTTCAGACTTGGTCATCTCCATTTTTTATCTTGCCTTGTGTTTGGCACTACTGTGCATTCAGGGCTGTCTCAGTAACATGGGGAAGCAGTGGGATCAACCCAGTCTCATAGATGAGGAAAGCAGAGGCCCCTGGAGGTGAAGTGATTTGCCCAAGGTATTACACTGAACCAGTGGCAGCACCAGGAATAGACCCTTGTTCTTTGTCTGTGATTTTTTAACACTCAGACTCTTCCCCTGCCACCCCCCCTCCCCCCATAACAAGTGTTTCAGGTGTGGGGCTGTGCTTGGTACGTAATGTATTACATCTCTGTAACTACTGTTCAGCTACTGTGTTTATAGAAAGATCGGTGCAAATAATTGATTTTTACCACTTTGTAAAAGCTACAGTTGATATTGCTTATGAAAGTGGAGAACTTCTGACTATCCTGGTGATTATTTTATGTCTTCTTGTTTTCTCTTTCAGCCGGGTGGCTTTACCATGCTCAGTGCAAGAGGTATGTCCTCGTTCTACCTTTTTTGTTGGGCTTTGTCTTATTTAAAACCCAGTTAGCCTGGATCCAAATGTTTTCTGTGCTGTGCATCCACCAGATGCGAGGTACTGTCCCACCAGTCAAGCAGAAAGAACCTCTTGCAGCTCAGTGAATTTCAAAGCAAGCAAATGCCTACAGGCTAAGAGTCTCTAGCTGTGTCCGAACCATACTGGTACTTGTCATCAAGAAGAGACAATTTGTGAATCTCTTCATTGCAGCAGAATCTTCCTGCCTATCAGGGCATTGTGATTCCAGCCAGTCCTCTTGTCCCCATCATGGCAAAGATGTGAGCCCTCTTCCAGTGCCTGAAGATTTAAATGGCACTGAAATATGTTTAATTGAAGTACATTCTCAACAATCCAAGTGAAAAGGAAACCTGACTCTAACAGCAACTGCCCCTTCCATTCTCTGCCCTCTAGTAGCCAGTGCTCTCTACCTTAAACATGCCCTAGGGCAGAGGTTCCCAACCCCTGGGCCACGAAGGGTTGGCTGCCAGTCCGCAGGAGGATTGGCTGGCAGACTGGAAGTCCAGAAGCAACCAGCATACTGCGGACCAGTAGCCAACCCTGTTTTATAATAGGTATAAAAAAGGGTTGGCTGCTGGTCCATAGTTTGCCAGTCTGTGGCCACTTCCGGTCCATGGTTTGCCAGTCTGCAGTCTAAAAAGTTGGGAACCGCTGCCCTAGAGAACCAGCTGGCTTATGCCCCTTTGCAACGTCCTCTTGGGGAGACATGTATGTGCTGGATACAAGGCTGGGAACACAAGCAAATTATTTTAAAATCTTAACTGTAAGCTTAAATCGATGAAATAAGTACGCTGACTTCTTTTGGCCAGCTGAACGTAGCGTTTCCTACTTTACCCAGTTGGCATGAAAACGAATAGCACTAAGGGTAAAATTCTTCATTTACCCCATCCAAGGTATACTTACTGCATTAGCGTGGTACAAAGTTGTGTGCTGAGCTTGCTCTTGTAAACCAGACGTTTTACCAAAGCTCTGGTCCTTTAAAATTCAATTCCCTTCTTGTGTAGTTCACCTGTACATGCCAGCTTTAATCTGACTATGAAATTTTGTAGGGAACTATTATCTGTATTCCCTACAGGTTGAATGGTGTCCTCCTGTCTCTCTTTAACATTGAAATATTGCATTTCTCTTTCAATTTTCAGTATCAAGTTGGGCAACTTTACTCTGTGGCTGAAGCTAGTAAAAATGAAACAGGTGGCGGTGAAGGAATTCAAGTCTTAAAGAATGAGCCTTATGAAAAGGATGGTGAAAAAGGACAGTATACTCACAAAATCTATCATTTAAAGAGGTAAGGAAAGGTTTGTTGGCCAACAGACTAATTTTTTTTTTTCTTTTTTTTTCTGTGTAAAAGCCCCATCTGAGGAGGAAAAATCTGCCACAGATTTACAGGCTCGGTGGTGCTACACTAGCTAGCACTGTGTCCGAAAGGGACCTGGGGATCATAATTGACCATAAATGAATATGAGCCACCAGTGTGATGCTGCAGTTAGGAAAGCAAACAATATGCTGGCATGCATCAACTGATGCATCTCAAGCAAAACTAAGGAAGTTATTCTCCTGCTCTACTCGGCATTGTTGAGGCCGCAGCTGGAGTACTGCATCCAGTTGTGGGCGCCGTACTTCAGGAAGAATGTGGAGAAGCTCGAGAGAGTCCAGAGAAGGAGTCACTTGTATGATTAGAGTCCTGAAGAGCAAGCCATACGAGGAAAGACTGACAGATAGGGAACTGTTCAGCCTAGAAAAGAGAAGATTTTGGAGGGATTTGGCATCAACTTACAAATGTATCACGGGACAGTAAGAGGGGCTAGGCAAACAACTGTGGAATAGACTCCCAGCGGGAGTGGTGCGAGGCACCTACCCTGGAGACCTTCAAAAGGAGACTGGGTGCACACCTTGCTGGGGTTATTTGACCCCAGTAGTCTTTCCTGCTTAGAGTAATGGGCCAGACCTGATGATCTGACGAAGTGTCTTGGAGCCCTTGTGAATCTGTGAAACACTGCTAACATTTCCCACCTTCTAATTTTATGATGCGAAAATCCTGCCTCAGGCAGGAAATGTTTACAGTTGTTTCAGAATATTTAGGGACAGAGGAGAAAACTCCTTATTATCTTGTGACTAACATGTCTCATGTCCAGTACCACTTTTTTGTCAGTGTCTGTCTGCTTTTATCCTGCCATTCTTCAGCCCCTCAAGTTTTGCATCTTAAATGCAGTTGGGTTTTTAAATAGGGACAGGCAATCTTGAGCACAGGATTAAAATTTAAAATGGCATTGATAAATTTTGAGAAATAGTTCAAAACCAGCAACCAGTTCAGTAAATACAAGTACTAGGTACAAGACTTGGAAATGAGAGAACAAAGGGACAAATACAAAATGGAGATTAGTGATACTACAGAAAAGGATCTTGGGGTTCAAGTGCATCACCAGTGGGTCAATAGTAGGATGCAGTTGTGGAAAGGCAGACGTCATTCTGGCGTGTGTTAATAGCAGTGCTGTATAAGACGTGGGAGGTAGCTGTTCTGCTCTACTTGGCCCTAGTAAAGGCTTGGCTGTATACCATGTTCAGCTTTTGGCACCAGACTTTAAAAAAGGTGCAGGCAACTTGGAGGAAGTCCAGAGAAGAGCAGCAAGAAGAGGAGGTTTGGAAAATGACCTCTGAGGAGTGGCTAAAGGACTTGAGTTTGTTTAGTCTAGGAAAGAAGGACCCATAAGTCTTCAGCTTCATAAAGGTTGTTATAAAGCAGTTGCTTATCAGTCATTCTTCATGCCCACTCAGTGTAGGACAAGAGGCAATTGGATTAATTTAAAGCAAAGAATATTTAAGTTTTGTATTATTCTTTCGACAGTATGGTTTGGGAAACACTGAGCCAGCCATCTTAGGAGGGAGGAATGTGGAATCTCATTCATTGGAGGCAGTGATACGTGTTTAAACTGTTTGTATGCTAAGGATGGTGGAGATGTGTGATCCTGCTATGTTGCAGAAGGACAGGATAGATGGCTTCTTCACACCCTTTGCAGGTGTATGTTCTTGTATTCCAGATGATTATGATACTTAAGACTGTGCTTTTTTCAGTAAAGAAGACAGCCATGCCAGCAGTGTGCTTGCCATAGTTTTACCTGAACCATTTCCATGTGGAACAAGCATCTCCTTCAGTCTAAGGTGTTCCTGGATAGTTTCTGACATCAAGTGTCCTGTATCGGATTTGCTACCATATTTTAACTCATGTGAGAGTTCCATACCTTAAGACAGTTTCTTGCCTCCTGGCTTGATGTTCATGGACAAGTATGGTGTTTCCAGGGTAAAGAGCTATTTAATATCTTCTGGATCTCCTTAGCTGTTATTTTTACTTATGGGAAGGATAATGCTTATTAGTAGCGGTCTGCAGTGTTATAGCTGCAATCTCAGTAAAGCTGCTGGTACATCTGATCTGTTATGACAGCATCGCTATTCTGAACACGGTCCAGTGAATCCAGGAGTACAGTTCAGCATCTCATGCAGTTGTCGTTGTCTCAAGTAGCATGCAACAGAAGACTGTAGTGGAAGGCCTGTGAGGAGTTAACTAATGAGGAACTGAATCAGAAGTCTCCTGTTGCAGTCATAGATATGGCTGCCCTTGGATACACCCTTCCTCTCTTACTCATCCTCCTCTGGGAAGTATGAGGAAGAGTTGCTCATCACCATTGCCAAGGCCTAACCAGGTTCAGGCTCCCAGGTGTCTGTGATGCCCCCTGGTGGCCACATAACCCTTATTCAGCTTCAGCTCTAGGGTGCCCTTTTCTTATTACTTTCCTGCTATGCCTTGATGTAATTGTTTGGAAGGGAGGCTACCTAATGGGTCCTAGAGCAAGCCCTAGTTCCACTAGATGCTGGCTAGCTCCTCTGGGCTCCTGCTGGTCTCTGCCCTGCCCTCACTGGATGAGCCTTCATGGCCCGTCATTGCCCTTTCCCAGGGCACCTAGTAGCCTTAAGGCCTCCGACCTCTCCTACACAAGGATACTGCCATATGGTTTCAGTCTCTCCTTTCTTCAGTATGTGGCTAACCACTGGGCTGGTGAAGGCTAGAGGCTGTAGTGCTTTTATTCTGTAATGTGCATACTCTTACTTGAGCTTTGGACAACACTGCTTGACCTGGGTCACTGTCTGTGGGAGACTGGGGTACGAAGGAGATCTACTTGATTGTAATACAGTCCTGGTAAGTTGGGAGAAGCAGCTGGAAGCTACAGCTGAGGCTGCACATCTGCCTTTCATAGCCTTGATTATAGGGCTGCTCTTGGATCCTGGCTGCTATTAGATCATGTTGTAGTAGATGTTTCTGGGCAGGGTCTCTTGCTGCCTGTGCTCAAGAGCACACGACCTTTTCTTAATATGAGCCTTGCTACCTTCCTGCAGGCCTGCAACCTCAGGCTTACAGCAAGGTGCTTCAAAATGCAGAGATGAATGTGATTGAAGAGGTTTTTGGGGTTTTTTTGTTTTTGTTTTGTTTTTGTGTTTTTTTTTGTTGAAAGGAGACTCTTCCACTTCACTTCTGGTACCAAGAAGCTTGTATAAGTCCCTAAAGTGCCCAGCTCTGATTTAAGTCCAGCATCCTGGTCCCTTCCTTTGCTATTGACTCTGAATAGTCTTACTGACCCATCAGTCTGTTCTCTTGACCTTATGCTATGGGGCACTGTAAATATTCACCATTAAAAAGTGTGTTGAGGAATTGAGCATTAATTGTAGAAGTAATGAAGTGATTAGAAAGAAAAGTAAAGCAAACTGTAGAGATAAATTACTCTGATAAGATGGTACTTGAGCCTTTCACCTTGACAAATCAGGTATAAAATCCTGAATTGAGTTGCAAGAAAAATGAGTTCAGTAGCAAAGTCTATCCATATAGTTGGATAACTGTCACAAACACTGTTTTCTGGACAGAATTGGTGTAGAAGAGATCATCTGTCACTGAGAGTCATGTTTCAGGTCATTCGCGAAGTACAGCAGCAGTGCTCTGTGTGGATGTCTTTGCTGTACCCACCTCAGATCAGTACCTACAGGTTTGGAGGTTAAGCCATGAATTAGCTTGCAGTCTTACAAACAAAACTGCTTGTCTGTAGGTGAACTCCAAGCCTTTTTGGACAATTCACAGCTGCATTACTCTCCTGTTTAGCAACATAACCCAACCACTACCTGCCAGTGGTTAGAAAAAGGTTAATTAATTCTGGAATGTCAGCCTCTTCTGAAACATCTGCCTCAGGTTGCTGTTGGATGAGGAATTCTGGACTCCGGTTTTCCTCATTTTTCCCACTTCCTGTTATGTTGGGGAAATTGTTCCTAACAAGAGGCACAGCTGTTATGGTCTAATGGACTTCCACTCAGGGTTTGGATAATGGCTTAGCTAATCTATGTGCCCTGCTCGCCACTGTCATCCAATACTTGGCTTGTGTTTATTATACGCCCTGCTGCCAGGTAGTACTGCTAGAGAACTCAGCAGACCATATCCATCAAGCAGAGTTGTCTTCAAACAATGGTGTTTACTGTACTTGAAGAGAAAGGGGAGCTTGGATGGCAGTTTTATGACTGAGATCATAGTGCTGCTGCAAATACTCTTAATTGCCTGTTAATTGTTTTATGATTGCCATACCTCAGTTTCGTGTAATTACTTCGGGAATGGTAACATTATTTCAGTTCCTACATACTTCACTGCTGGTTACTAGTGCATTGTAATTTCTTAATAAGCTTGGGTAGAATGTGCCTGTTCGATTGAAGTTTTAGAAATTGGCATGGAATTTAATTCGGGTTACAGAACACTTAAAAATATTATGCGATACTTTGTTCTTCACAGTAAAGTCCCTGGCTTTGTAAGGATGATTGCTCCAGAAGGCTCCTTGGTGTTTCACGAGAAGGCCTGGAATGCGTATCCGTATTGTAGAACAAGTAAGCTTGTCCTGAGTTGCATCTTATACTTTGCCATGCTGCTGTGAAAGGCTTTCACGCAGTTTAGGCCCAAAGTTTCGGCAGTCAGGTAGAAAAATCCCTCCAGTGTCTTGCAGATTCTGTAGCTCACTCCTTGCTATACCTTCTACTCCAGCAAAAAATATGCCAGGGTGTGAAGCTCTTAATGTAAAACTGAATTCTTGATTAATATTCCCTTCAAGTTCAGAATAAACCTGTTGGGTAAGAAACATAATTTAGACCCCAAAAGCTGTTACAAATGCACATGAACACAAAAATGAACTTCTGGTTTCTTTCTCTGGTCCTTTGATTTGATGCATTATTTGCATTTAGTCTAGAAACCCTTTTTGTGTTAGTGGAAGAAGCAAATGGAACTACTTTACATTAGCAGCAATCCACTTGTGACACTTTTACTCCTGAGAGTTCTAAGAGCATTGGTTATTTTTGGCCTGCTTTCTGTCAAAATGTTTAAAATGCCTTAAAGCAGGGTTTTATGTCAGGGCTAGCAAATTGTGTTTTTCAGATGTATGCTGACAGTTAACACTTCTGCAGTGTTAACTTACTTAATAAGGGGATTTTATATGGGGCACAGATTGTTTTTATATAGAACATATGTATTATATTATATTATTCTGACTCTTTCCTTTTTGTTTTTATTGCATGCGTCTTCAACATTCAGTTGTGACGGTGAGTACTTGGATTATTATTGGTTCTGGGCTGGGTTTATGATATGTGTGTGAATGTCTGATTACATGTATTATAACTGACTGTCTAATCCTGCAAATCTGCCAGCGTGCGTCTGAGCTTATCCTGTTCCAAGTTAGCGATTAGGTAGGATTCCCCTAGTCGGGAATTAGGATTTTCAAACCAGTCACTTGTGAACAAGTCCTCTTTGAGCTCCTTTTTAATTTCTGTTCTGCTTCTTATGATTACTAATTTTGGAACAATGCCTTATGGCTAAACGCTTTAAATAGTTTTGGATAAATGATTTAAACTGCAAAATGTCTGGGAAGGATGCTTAGAAGTCTGCTTCTCCTCAGTCCAGCATAGCAGGCTTGCTCTGCTTTATTGCATCAAGGAGTTATGGTAGGGTTTGTGCAGGGGACCTGATGGACGTGAGTGGCCTGGCGTGTTGAGGCTTTTGTAGATGCGGGTGCCGAATACAACTAAAAATTCAGTGCCTCCCTCCATTATGGAAAGTTGCACTGAAGAAGTCATATAGGCTGAACCAGCCCACAGTTTTTCTCAGAAAACTTTTCCCTTCAGAGAAAGGTGAGATGGACAAGAACTATTGGTGTGTTTTG